TTCCTTGCCTCGTCCTCGCTGTCATCGCCCCCCGCCCTGCGCCACCGCCCCCCCCCACCCTCGCCCCGACCCTTTCTCCTCATCCTCACCCCGAGGCGGAGTCGGGAAGGGAAAAGGGGCGCGGTGCATTTTTCATGAAACTCCGGGCGCCTCGAGCGCCAAAGCGCAGAGGCGGCGCCCCCGCGCGGGGGCGGGAAGCGCGAAAGCAAACCGGGACGCGGGCAATGACTCTCGCGCCCAACCCCGCCCGCCCCCGCCCCCGCAATCGCAGGCGGCACAGGGGGGGAGGGGCACATGAAGAGGAAGTGGGGGCGAGGAACATGCGCCAAATGCGGTTGGGCACTGAACAGGGGGAGGGGGAGGGCGCCGAACGAAACCGGCGTGCGACCAAACCTGTCATGGGCGACTTCAAGTCGACCCACAAGAGCCTCGGGTGCCGACATAGACTGAACATGTCCACGTGGACGTTCTGCGACGACCGCATGCCAGAGCCCCGCTTCGTCCCGCGCGCAAGGCAGAAATCGGCGACCCCTGATTTCACGGGTGATCCCCCCCCTTCCACCCGCCCGCCCCGCTCACCCGCCCGCCCCCCCTGCCCCCCCCCCCCTTCGGACCCATGGAAGCACTGGAAGCAGCGAACATGATAGTTCGAGCCGGGGCGAACGCACGACGACCATGAGCATGAAGTTTTGTTTGTTTTCTGAAGGGGGGAAAGAAGGGGGGGGCGGGGGGCGAGGGTCAAGACGCGCGGCTCGAGCGAGCAGGCGCCCCCCCCATTGCCCCGCGAACCATTTGCATTGGAAAAGGGACGCGGCGCAATGGGCAGTTTGCCACATGCACGGGGGGGTACCGCCTTGACGCGCGCCTTCCACTCGAAACGATCGTTTGCCGCGGCGCGATTGCCCGACGGGGCCCGGCCGCGACGTCGAGCACCCTTCTCGCCATTCTCCCCCAATACACACACACACGCGCGCACGCACGCGCACGCGCGCACACACACACACACACACAAACAAACAAACACACAAACACACACACACACAAACACACACACACCACACCACACCACACCACACCACGCCACACCCACACACACACACACCGCCCCACCCCACCCCGCCCCGCCCCACCCCACCCCACCCCACCTCCCCCCCATCCCCACCGCCCCCGCATCCCCCGCACGTCCTCAACCAAACGAACGCGCGATGTCGCGCGTTCCAGGGCGCCGCCAAGGGCCGCTGACTCCCGCCGCGCCCCGCGCGCGCGTTGCACGGCGGGGGTTGCCGATGAATAACAAACGCCGCCCCCCCGCGCGAACCCTATCGCCGGCGCCCGCCCTTGACAAAAACATCGCCCCTGTTTCGCGGCCGCTGCGCCTGACCGCGACCGCCTGCGCTGGAACGACGAAGCCTGCTCGGATTGCCCGCGGCGCCTGGGCGCCAGCGCCCCGCGCGCGAAGCGGGATTTGGCGACCCCTGTTTGCCAGGGGTGGCATGCGCGGAGGGCGATTTCACTGCCCCTACCCATTGCGGACTCTTCGGGGCGCCGGGGGCAAAGCGCGAAATAATTGAGCCTGGCGGGGGGGGGGCGGAGCGGGGGACGCGACGAGCATGAGTAGGGGGCTTTCGCGGGGGGCCGGGCAGGGCCCGAGGCGGACAGCTCGAACGAGCGAGCGCGACCCAATTGCCCTGCGCCCCAGTTGCGCTGGAAGCACCAGCTGCGCAACGCAACGGGTGGCGGGTCGCGCAGGGCGCTGCCACTCTGGCGCGCGAGTTCCACTCGAAGCGAACGCATCCTGGGGCGCACTTGCCAGCCTGTGAATGGCTGGGGCGCCTACCATCATAACCCTCATCACCGCCTTCACGCGCCCTCTTCATCCCCCCCCAACCCCTCGCGCCCTCGCTTCAAAAGCGGCGGGGGGAGCCCGATGACTCCCGCTGTGCCCCACGTGCTCTACATGGTGAGGATTGCCAATGAACCGGACAACGGCCGAATGACCCGCCGCGCGACCCCTGGCAGCCATGTTCCTTAACAAAAACCTGCCCCCTTTTTGTGGCCGCCGCGCTCGCCGCCGCGAACGCCCGGACCCCTCTGGTTATCCCATCCCAGGTCGATGATCTTGCAACGAGAGGCGTGGCTCTGTCTCGACCCAGTGGCGTTGACGAGTGCCTCGAACGCCGCCATGTCCCGGCCGTCTGGCAGGGCCGCAGGCAGCTCGGACCCGTAGGCGAAAGAGATCACGCTAGGCGGCAGGTCGCTGGGTAGGGCGAAGTGCTTGACGTGGGTGAAGGGCCACCTCTGGGCCGTGTCATGAGACTTGATCTGGTCCTTCAAGCGCTTGCACCACTGTTTTTTCTGGAACGGGTCTGGCGCGGGCTCCGCGTCGGGAAGCAAGTGGGCTATAATGGAGACGCTGCGGACCAGCATCTTCTCCGATGGGCAGGCCGCACCGATCTTGTACAGGCGCTGCCCCATGTGGGCGAGCTTGGCCAGTGCAGAGATCGAGTGGTCCTGGAACTTCTGCCAATCCGACGCCGTGAAAAAAAACGCCTCGGCTGATGGTGCGAATTGCTGGCATCGGGTCTCCTTCTGCTGAACCGCCTCAGGCGAGTTCACGACGTCGTTGAGCGCCGCGGCCAACAACTCCTTCTGACGCGGGCTCCACGGCCCACTGCTGATCTCGAGGCTCACAGGCGTCGCCTCGTCGAAGCTGAGGTTCTGAAACTTCCCGAACCCCAGCTGCATCGCGTGCCCCTGGGAGTCCAAGAGCCTCTCGCGGTCGAGCCCAGCAGAGGCTTGGGTCATGGCGAAGGCGACGCGCTGGCGCATGACCGAAACAATCTCGTCAGATCGGCCCAAATTCTGCGCCATCGCGATGGCGGACAACGTCCTGAGGCGACGTGGGATCGCACGATTGTCTCGGGATGGCACCACTGGGCCAACACGGCAGCGCTGGGGGAGGAGGAGTGCGCGGGGGGAGGGAAGTTGCTGGTGGGTATTGGGGCGGGGTGTCTCAAACGCTCCTCTGATTCAGCCATCCCACCTCCTCCCCCCTAACAAGCCCGCTTGAAAAAAAAGTCCCCATCCTCCTCCTTCTCCTCCTCCTCAACCTCCCTCTCCTCCTCGTCCTCCTCCTCCTAGCGGTCCTCTTCTTCCTCCTCATCCCCCCCCCCTCATCTTCCACTCTCCTCTTCCTCAGCCGCCTCCTCCCCCATGCACCCCTCGTCTGCTTCGCGATTGCCCTCCTGGGCCTGCCCGGGGGCGAGAGGTTGAGGGCGAGAGATTGAGGGGGGGGGGGTTGTGGCGGGCGAAGTGAGGGTGGGTGGTGGTTTATGTCCCCACCCAAACAAGCAAAGGGGGGGGGGGGGGGGCGGTGGGGGGGGGGGGGGGTGGGAAGGGGGGGGCGGGGGGGGGCGGGGGGGGGGGGGGGGGGGGGGGGGGGGAGGGAGCCGGGTGGGGGGGGGGGGGGGACAGGGGGGGGGTGACAGGGGGGGGGGGCATAGGCTCACAGGGGGACGCGGCCCACTCCACGAGAGCCCGCATCCCGCTTTGTTTTTTGCACCAAGTGAGCGCCCATAAGAGCCTGAGCGGACGCCCCGACAGCGCTACCCAGAAGGCCCTCTTGCGCGCTAAAGGTGAAGCCCCTCCGAGGAGCCCCGCGGGCTCTTGGGGGGGAGGAGGGCTCCAAGACGGCCCCGACAGAAGCCACTCCCTCGTCCTCTCAAACCTCCCACTTAATGTATCAGCATCTCTCTCTCTCTCTCTCTCCCTCTCTCTCCTATCCTTCTCCTCTCTCTCCCCCGTCCTATTCTCTCTCTTCTTCGTCCCCTCTCCCCTTCCTTGCTCTCACTTCTCTCTCTCTCTCTCCTCTCTCTCCTCTCTCTCCTCTCCTCTCTCTCTCTCTCTCTCTCTCTCTTCTCTCTCCTATCTCCCTCCTCTCCTCTCTCTCTTCTCTCTCTCTCTCCTTTCTCTCTCTCTCTCTATCTCTCTCTCTCTCTCTCTCTCTCTCTCCCTCTCTCTCTCTCTCTCTCTCTCTCTCTCTCTCTCTCTCTCTCTCTCTCTCTCTCATCTCTCTCGGCTGCGCAGCAGAGGGCAACGCGCGGGGCCCGGGGCCTGCTCGGCCATGCTGCCGTCGACGCCAGCGGAGGGGAGCAAGAGAGCAAGGCAGGCGGGCACAAAGAGCTGACACCGATGGCGACGACGGCGGCTTCGGCGGCGACACAAGCACCGACTGAGTAAGACAAGGAGTACTCTGAAGGGAAGAAGAGGAGGAGAGGGGGGGCGAGGAGGAGGATGAGGATGAGGAGGAGGGAGGAGGTGGAGGAAGGACCAGGAGGGATAGACTAGAGAGGCAAATGTTGAATGAGGGCTGCAGGAAACGATCATTGACACAACCCCCACCCTAAGGGCCCTTAAGGGGGGGTGTAAAAGCGCATTGGCGGCGAGTTTGGGACATATGCACATCGCTAATGATGGTGCCGAGGCTTCAAATGAGGTCTGAATTGCAACGAAGAAGGCTGGGTCAGGTTGCCAAGCGTGGGCTCCGCTTACGCTCGGGTGTTCTTGAACGCGGCTACGCCACCCTAGATCAAGCCAGGTTCGAAGGGCCCCGAATGCCCCGAAACCCAAACGCCATCCAAGTCGGGGGGAAGGCCTCGGACAACTCAACCCTCAGGAGGGTCGAGTTGGCGCCAACTCAACCCTCCTGAGGGTTGAGTTTTCCGAAATGAGCTTTTCGCGCCAACTCGACCCTCCTCAGGGTCGAGTTGGCGACAACTCGACCCTCCTGAGGGTCGAGTCTTCTTCCGGAGCTTCGGGCTGAATTCAACTCGGTAGTTTGTCGAGTCGAGGTGAGCAAATCTGAGCGGGTGCGACCGCGAATTGGAGCGATCACAAGCGTGCAAACAACCCTCGGGTGTCACGGCTCGCCCCAACGGCGTGGCCCCAAGAGGTTGTGGGCGGGGTGTGCCCGCTACCCCATCCCACTCAGCAACGACGTCTTATGCGCCATCGCGCTCGCCCTCCACATCGCGTCGCTCAACGTGGTTCACGTCGCGGAACTCCTGCAACTCCGCCGCGGCAGCGTCGACGCCCCGCTGGAACCCGGCGGGCGAGCCAACCATCGGGGCCCGCTTCGTCTTGCAGCTCCACTTCTGCAAGGCACCGTTGAAGTACTTGACCCTGCAAGTCTGCTGCGACCCCAACCACTTGACGTAGGGCCGGGCAATCTCTGGCACCAACGCGTTGGGGAAGCCCACGCGGCGTGGCTTCATCAGCAACACAGCGAGGCTCTCATCCGCGCGCTCGATGGTGAGCTTGGTCCTCCCATAGGGGGCGGACAGGACATTGACGGAGCGCGTCGTGCCGCCCTCGCACTCCACGTTCAGCGTGATCCAGCCCGGCCGAAGGGACCGAGGCAATCTCATCTGGCCGCCACCCCCCCCTCACCCAAAAACGTCCCGACGAGGACATGGGGGGCGGGGCCAGGGGGGGGCACTTAAAACCAACGCCCCATTAGGAAGAGCGTGGGGCCCGACGAGATTGCCTGCGATGTCGTCGGCCATGGACTTCTTCGCCCTTTTGAGCGGATTCTCGGGGGAGGAGCCCTCCGTGCTGGTGTCCTGGAACGGATCGGTAGACGCCTGCGCGCTGTCGGCCATCAGCCGATCGCACTGAAAGGTCCGCAGCTCCTGCAGGTGTTCTAGCATCTCAGAACTGTTTTTGACGTACTTGCAGAAACCTGCGCAGCTGCGATCACAAGTCACCCAACGCCTGCCATCGCGCAAGGACGTCAGCGTGACCCAGTCCGTGCTGATGTTACTCACGTGTGTGCGAGATATGCACGCGACACCTTCGGTAATGGTCGGCATGTCTACCTACTGCGAGCAAGTGTTCACGCCGCGTCGGTGCCGACGCAAACAGGTGCTGGAGCCAAATACGGCTACGGAGGGAGAGCGGGGTTGGTGGCCTCATGTAATGCCCCCCATCCAGGACGGCTCCAAGACGGCCCCAAGAGGGCCCCAAGAAGTCTCCAACACGGCCCCAAGACGGGTCCGAAATATGGACATCGGGATTCACATAATTCCCTGCACGTCAGACGGGCTCCAAAAGGCTCCATGACGCTTCCAAGAAGCCCCATGAGTCCCTCAGAAGGCTCCAAGACGGTTCCTAGACAAACCAAGACGGCTATACTGCCACATGAATGATCCAAGACGGCCCCGAGACGGCCCCGACATTTGGGAAGCATGATTCCCACCTGCCCCTGCGCGTCGGGGGATCTCCAAAAGACCCCTATGTTGTTTCCGAGGGGACCTTTAAGTGGCCCCAGTAAGCCCCCCAGACGGCCCCAATACAACCCAATGCGGTTCCAAGACGGCATCCACCTCTGGGCAGGTGCGATTTCTTTTCGGGCTCGCGGCCAAACCAGGGGCGGGCGCCCGTCGAGTCATCCTGCCGACAGAGCCGCGCGAAGCAATCCGAGGCGCTGACGCGCGCTACCGCCAACGTTGCACCCCTCCCCAGTGGCGAGAGCGGAGCGCGGCGCAGGGGGGGGAGAATAACGAGAGGAAGAAGGTGGACGATGGGCTGAGAGCGAAGGGATAGAACTAGCTCGCAGAATGCATCGGATGGGCCGCGAGCTCCAGCAACCTAATCAGTCATAGGGCTGTCCTCGTCGCCGCGTGCCCCGACGATAGACTCCAATCGGTGCAATGACGCCTGGGCGTTAAGCACGTTCTCACGTATATACAGCATTATGGGCATCGTGCATACTGCGGGCACCTGCGGCAACCTTCTGTTTAAGCGCATGCAAGACGGTCTATATCATCTCCGTCCTCTGCCTCAAACTAATGAACTTCCGCCTCAGGCGGCGGAATTTCCCCGTGGCAAATGCGGGCGACAATGCCATGTGGGCGGGGTTGCCAGGTTGCGTTCGGAGCGGACCGAGCCGACGTTGTTCGATCCGAAATGCGACTGTTATCCAAACTCGAGGGCCTTATATGAGACGACCTTCTATGGGGGGGGAAGGTGGGTGCACCAACTGGCGCTGCAATGTCCGCGCCCCCCATTAGCCTTGATGGGCCCCCCAGGGCCGCTTCATTTGCAATGTCGTTGGGCGCCGAAACCAAGCGGGGGCTTGGCTGGCCCAGCCAGAGTGCATGCGTGCTGTTTGTATGCATGCGAATTGCGACGTCACGACATCCTAATACTAGCTCTGACATGTTGCAATGAGACGCGTTGTGATCGCGGTGTGTTGCTGTTGCGTGCTGAAGGGGTGCGCGTATGTTGCGTCGTGCGTTGCGTGTCGATTGTGGGGCGAATGGTATTATGTGAGCCTCGGTGTGACATGTGGCGGCCACGGCATGTTATCATTGTTTTGCACGGCTGCATACTTTCCATCATGTTCGCACGGGCGTCGGGTATGCCATATGTGCCAATGGGCGCACCTCCGCGCGCGCCGCCCAGCGTCGCCGACATGGCGCACACGTAGCGGCCGAGGTCGCCGGTGGCGGAGTGGGGGGGGGGAGGCGGCGACCCAAGCGACGCCAAGTAAAAAAAAAACGTGGCCCACCACTGGAGGAGGCGAGGGGGGTTGTCGGAGTGATCTCACGCATGGGAAGACGCTGCGACGAACAATATGGGCCTGCTGAGGGAGGCGGAGAAGAATTGGGGCAGGAGAAGGATGAAGAGACGGGGAGGTGTGGTGAAACGCGGCCAAAGTTAAACTGGCTCTCATCAGCCGCGCGCTGCGCGCCCCGCCGCGCACCCCCCCCCAAAAAAAAAAAAAAAAGCAAGCGCTGGGCCGCCTATGGAGAGTCCGACCTGCCAAACCGCATGGCCCAGAACTGAGGGCGCGCCAAGCGGTGCGACGACCCCGATCCCGAGCACCCGTCCTCATGTCGATATGATCGTCCCGTCGTCGTCGGCTTCTTCGTGCCATCGTCGTCTGTCGAGCCGTCGCCACTGCTCGGGCGCGGAGTGCGCATGCGACGGGCCATGCTGGATTAAATCAGCCCCTGGCTTTCTTGTGAGAGCTTCCCCCGACTGCGCCGACCTGCCGCTTGTTCGGGGGGGGGGTCAGGGGCGCGCTCGGGGCGGCGCAGTGGCTCCCCCGACTTGATGGCCCTGCTGTTCCACAAGCAAGGGGCTGTGATCTTATTGTCGGCGGCGCGCCCGTCACCAGCATCGCACGATGCAGACGTGCTCACCGCGCGCGAAGTCTGGGTCATGTTAGGCGACTGGCTAGGCGGCACGCAAAAGTAAGGCACGATGTTTCGGTTCGTGGGCCCCTCGGAAGCGCTGTCGGGCGGGCCCTTGGAGTCTTTCGGGCGCTGCGGAACCAGGTAGGCCGCGAAACCTTTCGGGAGGCTGGCCCCCTTCACTGGCAGGCTGGACGCAGGTGCCTTGGCGCCGACGCCGACGGGCGCCAACGGTATCAGGACGGGCTGGCCCCCGGTACAATCTCGATTCGCAACTACATGGTGGACCACAACTCGGGGCCCACAACTAGACGTCACGGTGAAATTCACAATGTGGACGAGGGCACGAAACGCGCGAAGCAACCCCTCCCGAATGCGAGCCTTGGCGTTCTCGATCTGGGCGTCACGGCCGCCCTGCGGGCCCCGCGCGCGGGTCGGTGAATGCGAAGGGGTGGCAGGGTGGGGCTCGGGGCTCGGGGCGGCGGCGGCGGCGGGAGTGGGGGCAGGGGCGTGGGGAGTGCCATGGCTGGGGCAGTCAAGCCATATAGCATTTTTTGAACGCATTGGTTCGATCCCCAACCCCCTCTCGATGGCAGAACTACCCCGACAGGGCGCCGACGGCGAGCGATGCCTAACTTGCGACGCACAACCATGCAGCACGCAGGGACACGAGGAGAGGGAGAGAGAACGAACCAGAGCAATAGAGAGCGATCATTAGGTAAGAAGAACAAGGGACAACAAGAGAGGAGAGAGGGGCAGAGAGGGAGAGAGGGAGAGCGAGGGAGATAGAGCGAGAGAGAGAGGCAAACATATAGAGAGGGATGCGGGGAGAGAGAGGTGTATATATATATATATGTATATATGGACATATATACATATAGCACCGATGCGCTAGCGAAATATAGCGGGGGAGAGCGAGAGAGGGGGTGGCAGAGTAGATCACGAGGATGGCTCCATATTGGCATTGACTCCCGACATTACAAGGGCACCCTTACCAACCTTATCATCCTCCTCCTCGTCATCCGTCCTCCGTCCTCCTTCCTGTTCCTCATCCCCCTCCGCCTTCCTCCTCGTCGCCCGTGCTCGGCACTCGTGTTTCGCTCAAACTCGCGCGAAGAAAAGCGCACCACATCCTGTTCAACATCCCCCATCATTCTCCCCCTTCTCCTCTCGGCCCCCGATTCCCCAAACCAGCGTCAAAAAAAAAAAAAACATGCACATCGTCTTCAACCTCGCCCCCGCCCTCCCATCCCCCCTTCCTCTTCGTCATCCTCCCCCTAATCATCCGGCTCGTATCTCGCGTTGCTCAACATTGTTCGAGAGCCACGCTTCGCGCCCTCCTCCCCCCCCCCCCTCATCATCTTCCGTCATCGCTGTTCGAACTCATTCGGGGAGACCGCGCGCGCCCCACGCCCCCCCCCCCCCCCCCCCCCCCCCACACACCCACCCCACCCCCCCATGCCCCCCCCCCCCCCACCCACCCACCCACCCCCCCCACACACCCACACCCTATAGGAGGAGGTGAGGAGGAAGGAGGAGGAGGAGGAGGGAGTGGGGAGGGGGAGGAGGGAGGAGGAGGAGGGGGGAGGAGGAGGAGGGGGAGGAGGAGGCGGAGGAGGAGGGAGGAGGAGGAGGAGGAAAGCTACAGGGCTCGCAGGAGGAGGAGGGGAGGAGGAGGAGGAGGAGGAGGAGGTGGAGGAGGGGAGGCGAGGAGGAGAAGGAGAGAGAGGACACGAGGAGGAGGAGGAGGGGGGGAGGAGGAGGAGGAGGAGGGGGGCGACGAGGAGAGAATGAGGGGGAGAGGAGGAGGAGGACGAGGAGGAGGAGGTGGAGGAGGTGGAGGAGGAGGAGGAAGAGGGGGCCAAGATTGCAGTCGCAGTCGGAACAGGAGGACCAGCCAAGCAAGGAAGGCGCAGGGAAGAGAACGATGACAATAGTGCCATTCATGCATGGTTGGCATTATTGTCATCGTTCTCCCCCCGAAGGGGCGGCGGCGCGGTCCAGTGCATTCTCGGCACCGCCGTGCACGACCGCGCTGATGAGCTCGATATTGGGCAGGGCCTGGGCGGGCTCGCCCCCCCGCCTCCGCCTTCCCCCCCCCCACTCCAGATTCTGATGAAAATCCTGAACTGGAAAGATTAAGTTCTTTAAGCGAAAGCTATATGAACTAATGGCAATAAAGATGAGAATCTTTTACTGCTTTGACTTGAGCCAGTACATTACAGTACGGTGCTGCTTCTAGCGTATGAGACAACATGCCCAACAGGTCCTAGACAAAATAATCTCAACTCGGGTCCTATTTTCTTTAGGACATGTTGGATCTTATCAAAATTAAAACCCAGTCGATTTTACTGGAGTTCGGTAGCGGCCCTAGGAAGGAGTGAGAAAAGAGAAGAGTAGGACAGCAGTCCTAAGTAAGCCAGAATCAGGCTTATCAAATCCACCACGGCCACCAAATATCAGTCCATTGAAATATATCAACTGAAATAAATCCACTGAGATAAGTCTAATGAACTCTATCTCGAAGAGGTAGCCGATAAAGGTGAACATGAAATACTAGCTCCACAATTGAGGTCGAACAGAGCTGTACATGTGGAGCTATCCATATAACATCTCATGTATAAAACCAAACTCCAGATCATACTCCAGATTCTGATGAAAAATCCTCTACT